AAAATAATGAGACGTTGTTGTTCAAAATACTCGTATATTGCATCGGAGGCGGTGGGGCATTAAACTTTTCAATTTTAACCGTCTTTACAATTTTGGCGGGAAGAATTATAAACTAGACTAAGCGTAGACACCCATATCTGTAATTTGTAGAGTTAATTGTAACAATTAGTATAACAAATTAAAATATGATTGTTTGTAACAACAATTCAAACAAAAAAAGTGAAGAAACATAACATTTAATCTTTTGCAAATTCTAGCAGCCTCGATGTAAAAACTTGGTACTTGATAATCATTTAGGTTAATTTAGGGTGGTTAAGTATGCTTTCCAAGAATTCCTCGCTATTTCGATATCTTCTAAAAAGTTTAAGACAATGTTTACCAAAATGATCTGTTCGAATAAGTTGTTGTAAATAACTTTGACTTTAGGTAAGGTAAAGAGTGTTTTTCAAAATTATGCATATTAAGGTAAGGTGGATAACTTAAGGAAAAGCTAATAACTGCCTTGTAATATAAATTAGTTAGTTCAGTATAGGAATACAATGATCGGATTTTAATTTATTATTTTTAATGATAATAGAATAGAATAGTTTATTTATTCATTGTAAATAAATAAAGAGTTACCACAAAGGGCTAAATTTGTTGGTTGTAAAGTTTAAAAACTTACAATTACGAGAGAAAAAGGAAAAGAAGAAATAAAGGAAGAAGTGAAGACAAGAAGAAATAAAATTGCAGGTACCTTAGACTTATAGGGAACAACCTGCCACAATTCAATCAGACAAATAATAACTTAGCATGACAAAAGCTTAATAAAAATAAAATAATAATAATAATAAAAATAAGAGTACGAGTGTTTTAACGGTGTGCCTGGTACTCTTAATAGGGGATTGAACATTGTAATAATTCAATATATATTGTGTTGATAAATTACCGACTTCTGCATATTATTAGTTTAATTTACTTTTACTATTTGTTCAATTTTAAGACTTTTAAAAGTTTATAAATGACAATATGTTTAAAATCAGGACAGGTAACCTTTGAACTTATATACCTACAGTATCGTTTTTTGGCAATAAACCAGTTTTATTTTTTGTTTTTGTGTGTTATTAATGATATACAAAGTGAGCCAGGGAGACCAAATGTTCCCAGTGGCATCTCAAAGTGTAATCCAATTAAAATTTATAGGAAAATTCATTGGTTTCCACTGTTTGGTTAATATATATTTTTTTAATTAAGCTTAAACAAAAGCAAAACAGGATACGAAATAACTTAAAGAGAAAAAAAGAGTTTTTTATTATATATATATATATATATATATATATATATATATATATATATATATATATATATATATATATATATATATATATATATATATATATATATATATATATATATATATATATATTCTCACGTATTGATTCACGGATGGAAAAATGTGATGACACTATACTCCGGGATATCATCCGTTCGCTCGTTGAACTCCGACTGGAATCCTGCATCCGACTGGAATCCTGCAAATCCTGCATCCGACTGGAATCCTGCAGACGTTTCGCCAAAATCTCACTTGGCATCTTCAATGCTCGCGCTCCGAAAACACTTCGAACACTCGAGTGTTCGAAGTGTTTTCGGAGCGCGAGCATTGAAGATGCCAAGTGAGATTTTGGCGAAACGTCTGCAGGATTCCAGTCGGATGCAGGATTTGCAGGATTCCAGTCGGATGCAGGATTCCAGTCGGAGTTCAACGAGCGAACGGATGATATCCCGGAGTATAGTGTCATCATATATATATATATATATATATATATATATATATATATATATATATATATATATATATATATATATATATATATATATATATATATATATATAGTTGTATGACTAAGTAGCTCAAATTATTCATTTGTGTTATAAGAGACATTCTGAATAAACAATAAATAAGGTAGGTTTTTAAGATTGGGCGGGAGAACATTATAAAATTTGACAGTAATTTTATTAGATGTGTGATCATATCAACTTGCATGGTATTGTAGTCGTTCGTGTTAGTGGTTACTCGATATACATCGACGTTTTCACGTACATTTAAAACAGATTGGTGTATGTTTATAGAAGGCAGGGTCATAATCTGTAAGCTGGTAAGAATTAGTCTACAGTGCGCAAATGGATCGACCGAGATAGTATTGCCCAAACTTTGTCAATATGGCCCCTCCAGGATAGAGTTCTATCCATAACAAAGCCCAAGAGGTTAATGTCATTTTGATTTAAAAAGTCCACTTTACTAAAGGAGAAAATAAGTTTTTGGGTTTTTGGTTCATTAAGTAATAAATTATTTTCAGAAAACCATTGTTGCCGAATTTTTGTAACATTTTCATGATGTTTAGCAATTGATAAAACGGTAGTGTCGTCCGCAAACAGGGTGATGCTAGCACAGACAGTGGCAAATCATTTATATAAATGATAAATAGCAGCGGTCCAAGAACCGAGCCCTGTGGAACGCCGCACTTCCCAGGCAGGATGCTGCCACTCAATTCACCTCCATACTCAACGTAATGAAACCTGTTATCGAGATGTGATTCGATTAATTTTAGAGGAATACCTCTGATGCCACAGAATTCTAACTTATTTAGGAGTACACGGTGGGTCACAAAATCGAACGCTTTAGTAAGAACCCTTTAAGAACCCTTGAACTACCCTGTCTACAAAATGGTTAAGTGCATCTGCAGTAGAAATTTGTTTGCTTCAAAGAACGTGGAAAAACGGGGTTTTAAGGTCTTTTCGACAACTTTTCCAAAAATGCAAAAATGGGGCTAATTGCGATAGGCCCGAAATTATTTGGAATATTTAGATCTTTTTTATGAATATATATATATATATATATATATATATATATATATATATATATATATATATATATATATATATATATATATATATATATATATATATATATATATATATATATATATATATATATATATATATATATATATATTCTCACGTATTGATTCACGGACGGAAAAATATGATGACACTACATTCCGGGATATCATCCGTTCGCTCGTTGAACTCCGACTGGAATCCTGCATCCGACTGGAATCCTGCAAATCCTGCATCCGACTGGAATCCTGCAGACGTTTCGCCAAAATCTCACTTGGCATCTTCAATGCTCGCGCTCCGAAGTGTTCGAAGTGTTTTCGGAGCGCGAGCATTGAAGATGCCAAGTGAGATTTTGGCGAAACGTCTGCAGGATTCCAGTCGGATGCAGGATTTGCAGGATTCCAGTCGGAGTTCAACGAGCGAACGGATGATATCCCGGAATGTAGTGTCATCATATATATATATATATATATATATATATATATATATATATATATATATATATATATATATATATATATATATATATATATATATATATATATATATATATATATATATATATATATATATATATATATATATATATATATATATATATATATATATATATATTTCGAAAGTATCTTCTGTTTACAAATAACCAGAATTTTCTTTAATTTCACAATTTAAATAAACAGATTATATTATCATTATTTCTAAGAACTATTCAGTTTTATGTCCCTTGAGGTACTGAAAACGTCATTTAGCAATGCAAATTAAGCAAATTTGTACGAGATAGAAATATAGTTACGCGAGATTGTCCAAAATGGTGCAAGAGTGATGCGATGTAGGGCAGAGTGGTCTGTACATCCTCGCAATGTACTTTGTGGGGTACTGGGGCTTAGGAAGAACTGGTGATTGCGAAGAACGATAGTTTAAACATAACCAGTGCAATCGTACATAACTGAATTAATAAAGAATTAATGTCAGTGCATACTTGGTTGGTACTGCTATTTACTTAGGCATGGTATGGTGTTAAGAAATTACTCACTGCAGATGTCAAAAGTAGGAACGTTGCTCGCTAAGAAGTCGAGAAAGGGGGCCAAGACTGCGCTTACTAGTGACGTTATAGTTTTGGGAACCATAACAGCTGGAAGCAAGTCATTGCACAATCACATTACAACCTATCGCTTACCGCTACCTTCAGCTATTGCAAGATCCAATTTTTTAGCAAGACAATGCCAATCCATATACCACTGCAGTTAATAGAAACTTAATCGGATAAGCTAATGTCACCCATCTTCCTTAACTACATGTATGGAATATGATAAGCAAAAGGCTGAGTATCCTGGTAGAACAGAATATCAAAACTCACCAAAATTTTTATCAATACATTTGTTGGAACATTATCATATTATATAACAAATCCAATAAACGCCAGTTTAATCACGAGTTGGATATTTGAGAGTTACGGAGTAGAAAAATATATTTTTCCACTCTCTTCTGTAAAATACCTAATTATACACCGATCTAGCGTGCGGGAAGCGTCACTTTACAACGTGTGTTTCTTGTCACACCGATCAGAGCCACTTCGGGTATTTTCGGGATTTCACCGCACGGTTTGGGAGCAATCGGATGTTTTCGGAGATTTTACCGCACGGCTTGAATTGAAAATTTGGACGTCTGTCAATTCTGACGGTCATGTCAGTGACTGTATTCGTGTTGTTTTGCAAAAATTTACCCAAAAAAGCATAGTAGAAGTCAAAATAATTACATATATAAAATTCCTCTTAGAATCGGAACCTGTAATAAAATGTAAAGCGTTCCATTACTTCAGGTGGATCCGGCAACGCCGCGTTTACAAGAATATTTCTAAAATATCGTTTGTCTATGATAGACGGACTTCCCTTTTAAAATTCTTCAGAGCCAGACGCGAATCGAAATAAGCAATTAGGTACCGAATAACGAAACGAGAATAACAAAGTCGAACGAAAAATTCTTATCACCATTTGCGGTATCATAATCTATAGGCGAGTTGCACAATAAAATTATGGACAGGCCTGTGAAGTCGCTCGACACCGCTTTTTAAACTACTTTCTTATTACGGGCAAATTTAAGCAAAATGATTTTTTCCGGCAAAAATCCAGTTCAATCAGATGCATATAAAGACCGACCCGATTCGCGAACGGGACAGTGCAATTCGTTCGTTTGATTTATCAGTTTGGACATCTGTTTGCCTGGTTACGCAACCAATAATTCACCGACGCCGTATAGCAATGTTAGCAAAAGTGAGTAGACGATCTCAATAATTGATTTGTCTTATCTGGCAGCGATCGGAGTTGGAGTGGCCCTTTAATTATGAGATGATACCGTATCTCAAAACCTATAAAAAATTTCAAAAACTGCACAGCAAAAGTTGTTTGGATTCACTAATACTTTTAAAATATACCATTATATATACAGGGTGTTTCTATTTTCATGGAAAAGTAACAACCTTCTTATTTTAAATATAACAGCCTGTATATTAATGCATTTTCGAATTTCTATATCTACATCCTACCTTTTTTGACTTATTTTGAATTATGTAAAAACTGACATTTGCAGATTTAAATATATCAATTGATTTCTTTTTTTTTTGTTATATATTTGGCCTTCCTTTGGGATTGGCTTTCTTTTTAAAAAACATTTACTTTGGTAGTCTGTGTTGATATTTTGAAAATAAATAAATAAATAAATCGCTGTAAAAATCTTACTTTTAAAATTCACCTAAAAAAATTGCTAAAAATCAGTTTTTTCAAACGGAGCGCCAACACTGGGCTATTATTGTTTAATAATCAGCATATCGACTGTTTGTTCTGGTATTATAATAACAGTAAATTAACAATAACAATAAAAATTGTCAGTTTAACTGGCATAAAACTGTTAAACATTAATGCAAAACTGACAAGAAGACAAAATTGTGACGTTCCCGTAATGCTCGATTGTTTCTTTTTTCGTCATATTTCATCGGCATCGCCATAGCCAAGTAAAAGCAAGAGCAATAGAGACCCAACGCTTATTCCCAATAAAACCATAAAACATGTTGTGTTGTGTGAAAAAAATCAGTTTTAACGATTTCTTCATCTTAATTTTCAATGTTAGTTTTTTAACACCCTTTTTTTTTTTAGAATATCAACACAGATCACTAAAGTAGATCATCAATTCCACATATATAACAAAAGCTTTCACTCACTTTTGACATAAAATTCAAAATATGCTAGAAACGGTGCGACTTAGGTATATTTAAAATTCAAAAATACAATAATATACAGGGTGCCGTATTTAAAATAAGAAAGTTGTTCCTTGCCCACGAAAATACAAACACAATATTATATTCTAAAGGTATAAGTAAACAACTTTTGTTTTTAAGTTTTTATGATATTTTTATAGCTTCCAAGATACGGTGTCATCTATCCATGCTAAAGGGGCCACTCCGTACAATATGTGTTCCCAAATCTAAAGCTGATTACTCTGGTGTATGTAGAGGTTTCGAACGGCATTAAATGGGTAAAGGACAAGCTTGAAAATACTTATATACACATTGAGATAACACCCAGTCAAGATATGGGTTGACAAAATTTGGTAATTTTGGAATCATGCTCAATGGGATAATAATAAAATCAATATTTGCAAAACTAACCAAAGAGCAGAACTTCGGATAAGAAAAATTCTCATATTTATCCTACCCGTAGAGATTGTATTAAAAAACTAGAAACCAAACTTTAAGAAACTTATTTTGTCTAACCGAAACGACAAAGAAGGAAAACGCCCTTGTTTTTTAGTTACTTAATCTTAGTGTTGGGGCTAGTTAATTGATCGTGGTCAATTATCAATTGACTAGTAAAAAAATGCTTTAAACAACATGTTGCACTTCTAGGGAGTGTATGATTATTTAATATAAATATGTATTTTATAATAAATTAATATGCGTTTGTGATGTTCAATTTTCTCACTGTCTTCAAGGAATATCCGAATACTATACTTAGCGATTCGGGGAATACCGATAATAATATCGACTCCATTTGGCGATGGCTGTTTTTCAGATATAGTTAAGGTTATAATTAAAGTTATAGTTATAGTTAAGGTTAGAAATATTTCTTCAAGGAAATATTCTCGTCTCCTACTTTATAGTATATATACGTTAAACTTCGTAAATTCTCTTTAGTATTGTAAATATCATTTATACGCCGAGAATAACCAGATTTATACGTCCTTTTCCCCGTCGCAGGTTAATACTGTTAACGGCCTTTTAAACTCTGACATGGACAATCTCTTAAAAATTTGTGATAGACACCAATCCATCCAAATCTGTAGTCCTGTAGTTCTGTAATGATAACATTCGAGAAGAGTTAACGAAACTTATAACACTTCATTTAAAAGTTCATGCAAAAACTTCAGTCTTGTTGTTGATGTGAATTTAAAATTTAAAGAACGCATAACTTTATGTATAAAGAGAGCATTTTAAACTTTAATTCTATCACATTTTAATATTGCTGATACAATATATGGATCATTTCTGGATTCTGTTGACATTAAAAGGATACAAAAGGTCAATTACAAAATAGTTAAGTCAAAATGTCCCCCCTATCTTCTGAGAAACTAACATATCGTACGGATGTCAACAATATAAATATTCGTAGACAAAATTTCTTAACCATACCTGTTCATAAAATAGAATTTTTCAAAAAATGCTTCTCCTATCAGATTTCGTTTATAATTATTAAATATAAAATGAACGGTTTTACCCAATCCATTGGCTCATTCAAAAGACACATGAAATGCAAATTTTTGACAGGTTGATAATTAGCACGGCATTTTTACGATGGTTCACTAATTAACGAAGCATTTTGCTTAAACAAAGATTTTTTTTTGTTTTCTTGTAGCCCTGTCTCCTTGCATTTCTTTTCCTTTGGGAAGGAAGCTGCGTCAAGGCCCATTATTCCTTTGTATAGCTTCATATAACTTTACATGTACATATTATAATTTGGAATAATAAACATTATTATTATGCGCGATGGCGACGTAACGTACAATATAAATTTCATGATATTTTAAAAATTTGTTCGGTAAATTGATCGGTCAATTGACACAAAAAAATTTGACCGATCATTTCCACAACCTTTCTTAATCCTAAAAAAAATCAGTGCCGCGCAGTTTTTGTCTCAAAAATACGTTTTAAAAGTTTGACACCCTGTATGGAAGAACAAAGCACAAAATTTTTAATTTGTAAACTAGGATGGTTAAATTAATAAATGTCGTCACCTCAGGTGGTCACGTTATTGGCAGCACTGGCAACTGCCAGAGCCGGCACATCGCACGTCGAATTTGGTGGACTCGGTGGCGGGGATCTTGGCGGCGGTCACGGTGGCGGCCTGCTCCTTGAGAGCGGCGGTCACGGTGGCGGCTTGCTCCTTGGGAGCGGTGGTCACGGAAGTGGCCTTCTCCTTGAAGGCGGCGGTCACGGGAGCGGTCTAACACTTGGAGGAGGAGGAGGTCACGGGGGCGGTCTACTACTTGGAGGAGGAGGTCACGGGGGCGGTCTACTACTTGGAGGAGGAGGTCACGGGGAAGGTCTGCTGCTTGGAGGCGGTGGAGGCTACGGTCACGGCATTGCTTTGATCGGGGGAGGTGAGATCGAGCACGGACACGCAATCCAGCTGGAGCATAAAAAGGAAATTGACTACTACGTGAGAAATACTTTTAAATCCGTAATTAATACCATAGTAAAATTAGTAAGTTTATGTTAAGCAATGTTCGAAAAACTGACATGTGATTTTATATGGTTTTGAAAAAAAAACTATCCAACCATTTAACACATTTGATTTTAAATGTGTTAATTGCGTATGAAAGTAAAATGCCACTTTACCCAAAAAAAAAATGTTTACAACTCAATTAAAACTCCTCTATGTTAAGTTCTTTAAAACACGCACCGTCAAGGCACTAATAAACGTTTACTACTTTTTAGTGTTCCTAACAAGGGCCTCTGCAAAAAATAATGCTAGCTGTCTAGAAAATCAATTAAAAAACACAAAATATTCAGAGTAACATCTATTTGCTTAATATTTTAACACGTGTTCATAAAGACACGTCAAAGTTTAAAGTTAAAAGGGGGTTTTCATAAATATAACACGCTGCTGATTTAGCTCTTTACACTCCTCTTCCAGATGAATGCAAACATCTACCTATCAAACACCTCAAGCCACTTTTATCTAACAATATAATTTATTCTGTATGAGAATTTCTCGATGCTGTTATATAAAAATCATTTCCTTCTCCCACAAATAAAAGCACATTAATAGACAAATTAAAATATATTTGAGCTAGTGCCTTCCTTTCTTGTCTCTTTTCTACCGAAATTAATTAGTTTCGAATCAAAATTTTCAAAAACTTCAGATGTTGTATTAAACCTGTTTAGGCTTAATTACGCGCTGTTTGTTTTCTGGAGCAAGCTTGGAGTTCTTTTTTCAACGATATGTTACAAGCTGGCATTTGCGAATTGTTAAAGTTTTGGTTGGTTTGGTTAGTTTATTTCAAATTATGTTTAAATTTGCGATTAAAATTCATTGATAGAATCTTTTTTTTTTTCTATTTTTTAATTTTATCTCGAGACATCCGTTTGCTGATACTTCCGGTTGAAACACATTGTCAGTTATTAATGTTGCTTCTTACTCGCAGGCGCATCCGAAATACGAGTTCAAATACGGAGTCGAGGATCATCATACTGGCGACTCCAAACAACAACATGAAGTACGCGACGGGGACAAGGTAGAGGGGGAATACTCCCTCCACGAACCTGATGGTACCATCCGTACTGTGAAGTACACCGCGGACAAGCACAACGGTTTCAACGCCATCGTGATCCGCAAAGGTCACGCGCACCATCCGGAAGTACACCACAAGGCTATCGCCATACCCGTTCAGCACAGTATAGGATTAGGTAAGGCTTTTGCCTATTCCAGCTGGCAACAGACCACTTACCAAAGAATATTTATTGGTTGATCTGTGGAATAATAACGACAGATGGCAACATTGTATACAGGGCTCTTATGTTTCGTAACAGTAACATTTAACTGCAATTAATAGATAATTGTGCTGAAAATATTTATTATAAAAATTATGTACAGGGTGTTATCAAATCAAATAATCAAAAATGTTTGGTATAAAATGCTTGTCGTGCATTTTTGTGCAGGAAAAAATAGTTATATGGTGCCCTTAAACTGAGTTATAAAATTTTGCCGTTAAAATAGACTTGTAATATTCTGCTAAATTAAATTAATTCCAATTACCCTATACGGAAAATGAACAACAAATTAGTGTCTACAATGTTTAACGTTTTCTTTTGTTTACGATAACTGTGCTTGTTACAGGTGTAGGACACTATTGAAATGAAAACGTTACGCCATTTTGACGACCGCCCACTCACCCAGAATACTGCCATATGTTGTTTTCATTGTTTAGTAGAGAAATAATTATTAATAATATTATTAATCGTAAATATCGTTGCTCATCTCGCGCCCCCTTCTCTCGTGTATTTATATTTGTTGTTAGTTGTTAATATGTTGTATTATTAGTTGTTTAGTGATTCATGCAATAAAATGTTGTCCCCGAAATCGAAATTTTAATTCGATACATTTGAAAAAAGTTATAAATACCTAAAATTTGGACAGAAGTTTTTTAATGTGGCTCTATATCGTTCATATACGGCAACGACAAAAACTTTATTTTTCAATTTTTTTTTAAAGAAACTTCCACAGGCTTCTGTAATACTTTTTTTCTACTCTCGTCTGTAAAACACCTACTTACGCACCGATCTAGCGTGCGAGAAGCGTCACTTTACCACATCAGTTTCGTTTCCCACGAATCCGAGCCACTTCGGACAGTTCCGTGATTTTACCGCACGGGTTTGGGAGCAATCGGATGTTTTCGGAGATATTTCCCACGCTTTGAATTTTGACGTTTGTCAATTCTGACAGTCATGTCAGCGAATGTATTCGTGTTTTGCGAAAATGTACGCAAAAACTAACGGTCGAAGAAAATGTATAGTATGCAACACGTTCGGTAAAAATGAATAAGAACTAAAAGTTCAGATTTTCACGAAATTATATATTTTGACATGACAATTGGTTCGACAAAACCGTGTCTTTATCAAATGTCAGTTCTGTAAAATGTAACTTTAATTTTTGGTTAAAAAAGGGTAATAAAAATTAATTTTTGAAATAATTTTATGCAAAAACTATTACTAGCAAGAAAATGGGATTATACTAATAATAATTATACTGCTACTATCAAGAAATTTAAAAAATTGGGATTATACTAATGTCTACGGAGAAACCATCCGGCTAAAGTACTGTTTACCCTTTCCCCATATGTAAGTTTTACCATTTTTGAGATATTTAATATGTTCTATTCAAAATGACGTTTACAAATAAGAAAACACTTAAAAAATAGTGTAATTTTAATTATTTTTAGTCATAATCGAAATTTCAAACAACACTGGTTAAGCAAGCAAGTAGCAAAAAATCCAAATCCGTAAAATGGCATTGAAAATAGGGACGACTTGACGGGTGAGCCCCCGATCCTAATAGAATTAACTAACCCACTACCCGCGCACCCAACCCCATCCACCGGTTGAAGGAGCCGAAGTAGTTTCGCAAACAGTCGTGCACACCCTAGCCAAAGAAAAATCGTAAAACTGCCAACATTTTCCCCCGCATTAAGTAATATACCAGATCTAATCTAGTTTCTTCGAAATGTCCTCCGATTTATTTCCGATACTTGCGCCGACCCCCCAATCGTTTGTATCAATTCATATCGCTGTGATGTATGGCGATGTAGCACGAGATATGTAAGCTTCAACGGATAGACTCAAAGGCCATCCATAGCAGACTCGACAGGCCCTAAATATTTACAGATCGTATTCTATAAGCACGAATACTATTTCTAACCCATAATTACTATTTTTAATCCATCAGATTTTCAATATCTTTTACAACCAATGAACACACATATATAGTTAGAAAAGTGACATTTATTTCAAAATGAGTATTTCAATTTTTCGCCTTCGAATCTGTCAAAACATGTTTTGAAAACGCCCCGTATAAATGGTACAAATTACGCGCGTTCGCGATAAGACAGAAGCAATTTTAGATATTGGTCTCGCGGATGTCGGGGTCCACGAAGTGTCTATAAAAGTTGATAGATTGTCCCCCGATAACGCCCCACCTCCATGACAACGTCATTTTCCCTATGAATTATTTATGTTTGCAGAGATTTAATCGGGAAAAGTAATTTGTCGTGTATACAACCGCAAATAGCGGCAATAACTTTATTTTTCACAAAGCCTCCATATCTATTTCTCCATTTATTTATTATGAATTTCAGAGTCTATTTCTACGTAAAAACTCAGTAAAAATGCACAATTAATTTACATGCCATTACGGACCCTTGCTATGAATGAATTATGTTCATAGTTGGTTCTGTGGTACGGTACAACGAGTTATTCGTATTCGTGCTAAAAACCCAATTTTTGACAGAAGGGACAAGAACTTGTTCGATTCGACAAATATGATATTGATAATCAGGGTTCCATAGAGATAAAGCATATTCCAAATGGGGTCGAACTAGAGCACAATATAGGGGTTTTATGGAATTCACATTTTGAAAAAAAGCCAAACATTTTATAAACCTTTGAATGTTGTTGAATATGATTGTTAAAAGTAAAGCCGCTCTTGAAGAGCACGCCAAGGTCTTTAACATTTGATACCACTTTTAAGTTTTCATCCATCCTCGTATATTCGTAAACTATAAGATCGCGTAGGCCGTGAAACGAATAACTTACGCATTTTGAGAGATTTGGATCCATACTCCCAAGTACCTGTTAAAGGCTCCGACAAGTAATTTCCAAGTTCAGCAACCTGACTGCGTCCCCCGGATACAATTCAGAAGTCTACCTGTTATACCTTCCCCACACAGTTTACCAAGCGGCACTGCAAAAGTCCGTGTAAACAGTGTCAACCTAATCATCTATCTTGTATTTGAGAAAAAGGGCATTAAAAATTGCGTTATTAAGTTTTTGGACAACTTGGTATGCGACTAATCTGGATACAGGTATATAATTTATAACATCGGGACGTTCTCCTGTTTTATAGATGGTAACAACGTAACATGTATCGCACAGCATCTAAGAAATCGGGGAGATATTCCATTAGGACCCGGTCGCTCATTTGGATCGAGTCTACTCAATTCGGTGTAGATCTGTTTAAGTTGAAATTATTGTAACTTGACTGAAAAGGAGGAGTAAAGTTTTTGGTAACATATATTTCAACTTCAGTATTGTTATATCTAAAGCGATTTGGCAGAATATTATTTCCAAAATGATTTAATATTTTCTGGAAGACTCGACTCTCTATTCTGGGCAAAGTTTCGCTATGCTGAGCGAGACAGATCTTTACAAGCCTTTCTGAGTCTAGAGAATTCTCGATAATCATCAATAGAGTTAGTATGCTTATTTTTTTTTGTGCAAATTTTAGAAAACTTGCTTGAATCTAGCTTTTTGAAATGAAATGAAAATAAAGTAAGCATTATGTCAAGAGATCAATCCCCCAGTAACCGCTCCCAATCAATGGAACCTAGGGCATCATTTACTAGGAAGTAATCTGCATTCTTAAAGTCATGAAAATATGATTCGACGCATGAAAAAGAGGAACATGGAGGCTCTGTGCTGGAACCAACTAGCCACCGCTAAGAACTGATCAACTGATTAACAACCATATTTTTTGAAAAAAATCGTGATAAGAACAAAAGTCTTGCAACAAGTCTATCACTTTAATAATTAACGGGGTGGCCGCGCCGATCCTGGCTGGCGTTGAGAAATATCTGTCATCAATCCGTATGGCTTCCGGGACATCGAAATCGCCAGCAAAGCGCATCTGTGTATTTGGGCTATTCTCAGCGATTATCATGACGTTGTCTGCAAACAACTCGTGAACTTTCAGCGGAGATGGTAGGAGTGTGCAAACAGATCCCAAGATCAGTCGTCGACTTCTTTGGCCGATGGATTTTTTTTTTAATCTCAACTAATTGAGTGATGCATTGCAATTAAACTCCAGCAAATGCGAGTGCTAACTCCCCTAGAGTTAGCACTGGTACTTGCTGAACTATCTGCCTTGTGAACAACATACTCCATACTCCGCAACAAGGTAACCGCCCGCCAACCACGTCTTTGACAAAATAATAATCTATATGAGGGCACCGAAACACTGCTCCTTAAAGTTGGAACTTTAGTTCTCAGCCACAGTTTCGATAATACATCGCCAATACCTTAGGCTCTCGTGTAGATATACCTTCTCTTTCTACTTTTTTTGCTTTTTTTGCTGAATTATGGGACGCCCTCTTACATATTTCATGAATAAATCAGCCTGCGCCCTGGCCTGCGCAGTTAACACTCAGCCTAAGTGCATGTTCTCTTTCTTCAATTTTCTTCTGTTTTTGATGACATTTATCACGTGCTCCTTACTTTGAAGAGTAACTCATAATGGACGAATGCCTTTTTTATTTGGTCTACCAAAACGTGTGATAATTTTTATTCAAACAAACTTCCACAGGCTACTGTATTACTTTTTATAAAGCTTCTTTAGAGCTTGACTGAAACTGTCAGTCAAGTTCCGAAGAAGCCAACAGGATGATTGGCGAAACGTTAGCTAGTTCGACTCAACAAAAACCGACGCAGGAGGAATCCAGAAGTTTTTTGAAATGTACGTGTGATATTACTTGTAGAGTAAGAGAATCCAGTTCAGTCTTTTGATATGGAGTTTTTCATCACCCTGACATCTTAAGTCAAAAAACAACAGATTGGGTGCACGTCTTGCCCGATCCTCAAGCTCGGTCAATAAGGCCTCTCAAGACCTGTCGCGGAAGTAGGAGTAGAATCTTCTTGTCTCGATGTCTTTGGCTGATCTGAGCTATTAGTCAACACAACATTTTTTTGGTGAGTCCCTCGTGTACACGTATCACATGAAGAGTGAATTTGCAGTTATTGAATTAAAGGTTCTGGGAAAATCGTTTTTAAAAAGAAGTCAACTATGTTAACGTAAAGTCGTTTTATTTCATTACCGACTAATGTTACATTTATATCTACGAAATGGGAAAGTTTACAAAATATTTCACTTGACTTGATAGGAAATCGAATTTTTTGGACCTTGCTATGAAACACGATAAGTGTCCGAAATTTGAAGAAATCGACTTTATATTTGGCACATCTATGCAGCTTTGCCCCGTGGCGAAACCTATTGAAAATTGGGGGTCGCGGGGGGTCCGGAACTATTTTAAAAAAGTATTTAAAAAAAAATCCACAAAAAAGACCATTTTTCAAAAACCGTTTACAAGACGGAAAGAAATTCTTGAACCAAAAGACGCAGAGGAAACGACTCCATAAACTGTTATTCTTAACAATTTTTCAGTAATACACAGGGTGCGCCGCAAATTCAAAAAAACTTGAAAACGAGTCCCCTTATTAAATTGGCAATAATTTCAAATTTGTGTTTTAGATGTCAGTTTCTTTTACATGACGATATAGCCCATATAGACAGCTTAAACTTTTGCATT